ACATGTCTCAGAATGGGGATCTTTAGAGCCTATATCATCAACACTTTTTCTTCTTAGTTGGATGATGTATAATCCACACCGTAAGATCCACACTATAAAATTGAAAAAAAAAAGTGTACCCACAGGCTCCCTCCAATGCAGAGTTTGGGAATGGTCAATGTACGAAGTCTTACCTCCGGTCTCCCATATCACAAAGGATCAACCTTACTATTGTGTGAAGATCCACCCTCTATTGACACTATAAAATTAAATTACCTATATAGAGTTGACTACTTGGGAAAGTATACATCTATCTGTCTTTAATCGGATACGTGAAATATAGTTAGTTTTTCTGTTTAAGAGATTCACATATTCATTCATCCATGTGACTCTTTGCTGAATACAACTTATTTTACAGAACTTCCCTCCAATTACTAAATCTGGGAACTTGAGCTAATTCTCAGGCATCCGCTTTAATGTGCACAAATGCATGGTATTGTGTGCTGCTAATACTATACAAGTATACATAGTGAGAAAAAGCCATATAGCAACCAATATGATGCATAACAACCTTACCTTTACAAAATAGAACACAAAACAAAACCCTTATGCATGATATGTTGGAAGCTAGAAAGAGCCTACATGAGTTGCATTGTGATGAAAGCTGCGAATGAAATGTGCATGCAGAATTCATGTTTATTTATCTGGGGACTCTTGATTCTACTAAATTGCACATAGCGAGGGACTCTTCATTCTACTAAATTGCACATAGGGATAGGGATGCAATTTCAACCTGGACCCCTGGTGCACCAGCCCAATCTGGCCTGATTAGTTTGGGTTCAACCAGTTTTAATCAGGGAACGCGAGTGTTGGGTGTAGTTTTCAAAAATTGGGTAGCGACAGGAACAAAGACCTTATGCTTGTGTTGGTCCAAGCCCAATATGCTTATCTTGCTCCAAACCCACTACACCCAATCCTTGCTAGCTCCATCCCACAAAAAAATCCAATCCCCAATAATTTTATGTAAATATTTTTTATTACATAATATGTAGTAATAAAATTATTATAGTTTCATAATTTATTCACATGTGGGTAAGCCAAGGAAACAAAATCAATATCGTTGGTTTTTATGTGGATCAAGGATTATATTTTATTTCTTAACTTGAGTCAAGCCGGGATAATATGGAATGAGAACTTTGAGTGACTGGACAAGGATGGGCTGAGTAAAACCTGCCCTGGCTCAGTTGCTATCTCTGATTGCATGAGAATCTTTAGCAGTGCAGAGTTGACATATGTTTTCAAATTGTCCTTCTTCGATGTCTTTTGTATTTCTCATAGCTTGAAATAGTTTCACTTGAACAAAGAAAAATATTATTTTATGATTTCTAATTGTTTGGGAACTGGTTGCTTATCCCTGAGATGCTAATAATTTTGCTCGCCAGAAAAATCTATTCCATCCTTTTGCTTGGTTGAATCATGAAATTTCACTTCATTAACTATTTGCTGAATTTGAGAAAATGAACTCTGCCAAATGTGGCTTTTGGGATTCATCAATGCAATATTAGGCTTTTGTGACTCATAGTTATCTCTTCCACCAACTTCAGTCAATGATGCTTGCTCCTTACTGTTACCAAGTTCTTAGTGCAGAACTCCTAATGTGCCGCATTTGCTTTTACATCTTTGATTTTGTACTTATAACCTAGTTATACCTACATCCTATAGATGTTGTACTTAAATTCTTATAGCTATCAAGATTTTGAACGTTACATAAAATCTCATAATTATAAACCAAGATACACTGACTTGGCATTCCCCAATGCAGTACCATCTCAATATGCCAGTAATACACTGAGATGGTCAACATGACTAGCATGTGCAATTCTTACTTCAGAGTCCTAACAATAGCAAGAGATTTCTAATAAATTTCGAGTACACTGGTCTGAAATGTCAAATTTTCTCATAATTTGTTGAACAAAAATCTTCTGGTACAACTTTGAGTAGGGAGACTACAATTAGCATCACTTGTAGAACAAATTGATCTTATTGCCTTATAGCAGATTAAATTGCATTACTTCTTTGTTTTCTTGGATGCCTGACGTGTGTCTACATAATTGTTCCTCCTTTATAATTTCATGGCACAAGTCATCACCAAGAAATTATGTTATTAGTTATGTAATACCATATGATAGCTCTGACAGAATTTGGACCAAAAAAACCAATCATATGTGGCTCTACTCACATTAATTTTATACTAAATATTATATGGTCGCTAAAGTCATAATGCTAAACCAATGAGGCAAGGCTTGCTAAAGGAAATCTTCTTATTATCTTTTTGATCAATATAACCATGCCAGATGCCCATTATTTAGAAAGCCTCTTTCTGTTTTAATGAAGAAATTTCTTTTGGTAGAGATTGCTGTTTCCGATATTTAACAAGTATAATGCCAATTAGAACTGGAAAACTCTCCTCTTTGTTACATGGACAGCAGTAGGAGGTTTCATCAGTCATCATATTGCATGACTTATATTAGCATCATCATTGGTCTTTATATCAATGTGTAGCATTAAACTGATAACTTAGTTGTATCATATGAATTATAGGGCTTTCCCTTCCAATGACAACTTTTCATTAACTGCTGTTCTATTTATTGTTAATGTGTTCCTCAACATATTTGTGCAATACACCTTTTGGTTGAGGCACTTCAGAAAACACTTATAGTTCTGTGTGTTTCTGACAAATTTTCTAGGAGAAGTTCAAAAATAATATAGACCTCTGTCAGGGGAATGGTATTTTTGAAGAACTCAGTGGTATATCCTTTCAGTTACATGTGCTGTTATGAAGTACAAATCCTGACTTGTAGATATAGAAAGTCTTATGCAAACAGGGAAGAGTTGTTAGAGTCACTATATTGCAACAGAATTGTGGTTTAACCCGTGCATAGTTTGCTGCATCATCAATTACATCTGTATGAAAAGACATGAGTGCACTCTACCAGTAGTTTTCCATATATGGTTTGCTCCCAAGAATGTTACATCAATACACTTCCGAAGGTTCTGTACGTTGCTATTTGTTTCTGTGTGAATTTGTTGTTTAAATTATGTCTTCGTTAATTTTAAAAACTTCTGTATTCGAATGGATTGTAAGATAGTGCAAGATTTTAAGTTTTAGTCTAGATCTGTACTGGTCCTTGGCCAGACTGGTCTGGTTCCAACACATAGCAGCAAAAAAATATGCCATATGTGCACAGACCAAAAGAAAGAGGAAAAAAAGATGGGAGGAAGATGAGGAGAAAGAAGAGGACAGGATGGGAAGGGGAGGATGGGGATGAAGAGGAGGAGAGGAGAAGGCTGCTGCTGGCAGTCAACAACTATTGACATGCTGTCCAGATTCAAAGATAATAACAATTCGATCCGGACTGAGCGAAAGTGCCTGGTCAAAATGCCAGCTCCTGGTTGGACCTGTAAATGTTGGTCAGTATGTACTGGTCTGACCAGTTTTTAATACCTCGACATAGTGTAAGATGCGAAGGATTTGCTTAACATCATTGTATCTTCATTATTTTTAGAATCTTTCAGGGTCTAAAAACTTTGAATGCACTGTAAAATTGTGCAAGATTCTAAGAATTATGAACTACTTTAACTTATTGAAGTAGCTTTTTCAGATATCATCTTAAAGAATGACCAATTACTAGGCAATCTCCAAACAGTTCTGATGGTTGACTGTATGTAGGTATCTATTTAATAAGGATGCTTTTGTGGTATATAAATGAACTAATAACTCTTTATGACTATGATGATTCATGTTAACTTTTAAATACGATCTTCTGTTAGAGAGACTAATGGTTTTTACTTGAATGGTAAAGTCAGCTAATTAGCAAATAACATGTTTATACCAATGATCTAGATTATCTAATTACATGATAAGTATTGCTAGATCAATTGGATAGTTCATTTGAAGTCAACATTCTAAAGGCTGAAGGCAAAAGATATTAACTAGTCTAGAAATATATAATCTGCTTCAACTAGCTGACCCTGTACCAGTCTGCTTCAACTATGAAGGACCGAGACTTCAAAATGCTTGCTGTGTTCATGTTGTAATAGGTGGATATTTGTTAAATACTTCCGGAGACATTTTGGAAACTTGAAGACATATAGTTCACTTATCATTTATACATGTATCGGTATATGGTCCATTTGCGTCATCTATATAAGCCTTCTGGATGTGTCAAATTTTGGCAATATATATGTACTCTATATTTGAATTTAGTATCGCTATAAATTTGTAGTAACTTGTAAATGATTGTTATTATTATAAGCTATAATATGATAACCAGAAATCGACTAAATTATACATGCAATATTTTTATATATCAAATGTTTGTGTCCATACAAGTTGACCATATTTGTCATGACACTCTGTCTATATTGTATAGTGTTCATGTCGCGTGCCCATGTGCGAGCTTCTTGGTGATTCAATTCTGATCATGTAGATGAGATAAAATGATTTTAATGCAGAAGATTGTAAGTGTTCATTTATCTTTTAGATCAGCATTCTTTTCATACAAGTTGCAGATGGATAAGGCAATGTGTCTAATTTCATTGTAATGAGCCCCAAGACTTGTATAGATATGGGAGTACAGTTCATCTTGTATTATGTTATATTTGCAGCTAATTAAGCATGATTGTAACATAAAGAACCATGTCTTTGTCTTTTCTCGGGCACTTTAGATCACTATATATTATTTGGATGGTTGACCTCTGTTGCCACCTGAAAGGCATGTTTATTGACTTATGTTTCATCTAGGTAAGAACCTTTCCTTGGTGGATGGTCACAGTGCCTTCTGGTTCTAGATGTCATCTTCTGACATTTTGAAGCTGTTTACACAAACACTGACTGAGGTGATTGTTCACAGATATGGCATGGCTAATTAAGTACATAGTGTTGAATTCAAATCTTGTGGATTCCTTGTGGAAAAGAAATAGATATGTGGCCTCATTCCAGAAATTGCCTGTAATGCTCTTTCACATTGTGCTTCCTTTTTTGCATGTTTTTTATGGCCACTATTCGCAATAAATTTGATTGTCACCACTGTGACACTTTGTTAGTTTGCTATCCTGAACTTCTCTTATTTATGAAGCTTCCATTTGATTTCCAAGGTGTCATGGACATGTTCATGTTTCTCTTTCTTCTGCTGTTGTAAGGGGACCATAATCTCTACATACAGCATGCATGTGCAGTTGGACTTACTTTTCGCTGCACTATACAAATACATAAACTAAATGATAAATGTACTGTTGTCTGTCAACTTACTTTGGTTCTAGTGTTTAACAGTGGCCCCTCACATGCTTTTCTAGGTTCATTTCACCACCAACACGCGTATTGCTTTCACAACTGTGCACAGATAAGAAGGATTGTTGATAATGTTAGTTAGGTACTGGTCATATTGTCATATGCATTTTTACTGTTTGCTATATCTTTCATTCTCACTTTTACTTCTGAAACAATGTGTATTTACTCTTTCTTCGAGCTTCTAATCATCATTTTGCAAATTGTGTAGGTGATCATATTCACCAATCGAGGACCTGTTGGCTTAACAGTATCAAGTCTCCAAATGTATGTGTGCCAAGTGCCAAAATGTGGAAGTTTATAGCTGAAAACTCTGCAAAGTGTTTGCTTCTAGCAGGCTTTTACTTTCCAGTATTTGGTTGTCATGATCTTGGATTATCCATCTGAGGTAACAGTTTTCAGCTTCTTTTTATGAGAAGCCAGGCCACCTTTTGTGGGTTTCTTACAATCTGCTAACTTGACTCTAGGACATCTGATTAACTATGGGAATTTAAGAATTGTTATGGCACCTGCAACTCAAAGACTCACATGCTACAGAAATTTTTACTGTGAACTCTTCATGTTAGCTGCTGGTAATCACTAATTCTTTTGGATGCTATTAAAATATGCAATTGTCTTTCCATCATAAATAGTCTACATCAAATTTTCTTTGCACCACACCCTGCAGTGGAAAGGCCAACAAAATGTAGTAGTCTGTGATTGTGGTTCATCATCTCAAGAAGTGTTGGATGATCCCTCTTAATGGTGCTTTGTGTTTGGATACAGTCACTAAAAGTTTCTTCTTTCCCTTTTAGACAGATTCAACTGTTTACTGAATATATTCTTTAAAGATTAATTTCTGAGAGTTGTTTATGCTTTAAATCCAAGCCAGGTGCTGGAGCAGGTTAAGAATATTGGAACCTTGGTTTTAGCAGTAGTACACAATCATGTTACGATGCATGGTTAAATCTTCTTTTACATGCAATAGATCTAAATGTGAGACTTCTAAAGGGGACCACTGTTTTTGGCCCATACCGTGATCGACAGCCATGGATTGACGGTGAGACTTTGGAGATCATGAGATCATGTTTGCTTTGTCTCAGTCCCCAGGCATGTAATTTTCAGGTAAATGTGTCCTACAGTTCTTATGCCCCAATGAATCAAATTTTGTTGTCACTGCATCACGAATGGGAGGAAGCAGTCTCCCTTTGTCCTCTTCTTCCTTTTCCTGCAACATCCATCCCTTTGTTGAAATCACATGGCAATTCATCTCGTAACCTCTCATCCAAAGGCCTGAGAGATCCTCTTCCTGAAGAACACACACACACACATACGCACATTCTCTTCAAGGATTCAGATACCAACAGCGATCACAGCCTTTCCATTAGCTAAAATAAGATTCAAAAGTTGCATATAAGAACGCTGGATAATACATCTACATATTTGTGATCAGATCAGGATCAGAAGGTGGTGGTGTCACGGTCGGCTTCCTCTTGAATCGTGCCGACTAGTTCATGGACTGCGGTTGCTATGTCATCCACTGAGCTCAGTTGGCAATCGTCTTCCACCTACACCAAACCGAAGAACAAAAACGATGACACACCGTTCGTTCAATTCCATGGCAAACAAGCCATGTAGGAAGAGTGCCGCGTGGCTGACTTGCTATACCTTCAGACTGAAAGAGCAGAAGGCCATTTCAGCGACGGTGGTGACGTTGAGGTGGAGAATCGTCAGCCGGAGGTCGTGCAGGCCCGCCACCATCTTCAGCAATTGCTTCGGCCGCCGCCTGGAGAGGACCTTCAGATTGGCGTGGGTCTCCACCATGGTCACCTCGATGTCGGCCAGAGCCGGCCGGTTCTCCTGCGCCTCTTCGCCGGCGGGGCCGTTGTTTGCTCCCCGGGAGGCGGTGGTGGAGTACTGAGGGAAGGTGAAGAAGTCGGCAAAAGGAGCTGCGTCCGCGGTTTGCTCGATTCGCTTCCTGGCCTCGAGGGATTGAACTAATTGTTCGAGCTCTTTGACGAAGTTTATCGCCCCTCCGATGATCGATGCTTGATCACCCTGTTGATGATGAATGACATGATGATGGCTTCGCTAAATCTCATTCTCATTCATTCATTTTAAGAGACTTTATTAAGAGGTAAAGCAATAAAAGCTGAACTGGTTATAGCCACCAGCCATATGACATGATCTCTCAACTCATTGCTGTGAGACAGTGAGATTCTTTGTCATTTTGGGAACCAAAGGACCCGAACGATGACCAGACATGGTTGTAAAGTCTGCCACTAGGCTCTGAAAACTTTACGCTAGGAACAAGACATCTGATAAAGAGAGATCATCAGATGGCACACACACAGATGTCGAAAATGAAAGCACGGCTCGTTGTTAGCAGATGTAATGAAGCGAGACCTCCATGCTATTAGGTATCGACGCGAATTAAGTATGGGTGGGGGAGGGGAGGGGGGAAGGATGACGAACCCTTTGAACGTAGGAGGCCGGCATGAGACACCGGAGCGCCCCGAGGTACTCGTTCATCTGCTTCCGCCGGTTGCGCTCGACGGCGATGTGGGTCATTCTCTGGTTCTCCACCTCTTCCTGGTTCTTGAATGTCTTGGTGCGCCTGCGCTTCCTCCGCCCGGCGGGCGCCTCGTGGCCGGCGGTGCCATCAGTACCGTCTTTTGCAGCAGTCCCCGGCGGAGGCGTGTTTGCACCGCGGGCATCGGTCTTTGGCGTCAGGGAGGTGCAAGGGGCGTCCAAACTCCCATGCTTTCCACTACCGACCTCACATTCTGATTCCATTCCCTTCTGCTCAGCGAAGGCACGGCACCATGCTGCGCCGCCCACGTTGTACCGCTCCTTCATGGTGCAGCCATGGAGGTCTCGGGAGAACACCACCGCTTCCAGTGCCATATGCTTCGCTGTCGACTCCGGGGGAAAGCACAAATCAAGGCACTCAGGCCGAGCGAGCTCGCCCCTTTCCTCCGTGCGGAGAGGGAAACTTAAAGGCCTCGATGAAACCAAAAGAAACAGCACAGCATTTCCGGATGAAGCCAAAGGAGGGGAAGAGACACAAGTAACATGGCGTGCGTTAGTTTATTTGGCGATGGGTAGAGGGGTTGGCTACGATGAGTTATAATTGAGCTTTGTTTTGATTCGTCCATAATTGATCTGATGTCAAAGCACAGAGATCGAGGGCAAAAAGGGGACGGGGAAAGGCTGACAGGAAAGTAGCCATGGCAGAAGAAGCTCTCCCTCTCTACATATCTTGAAGGGTTCCTCTGGAGCGTCGACGTGTGTCTGCGCTGTCGCTTATGTGCGCTAAAGAGAAAAAGGCCATGTGACCACCAGTGTCCCTCCTCCAATTCCTCTGCAGTCATCGGCCATAAAGGCTGAAAGCTTCTCCCTGGAACTCTGTCCATTGTTAGGTCAAACTTTTCCTGTTATCTACGTCCGCAAATCTTCAACTTTTGCTTGTTTTACTCTTTATCTCCATCCGGTTTCTGCATCACACGAGCTTGGAGTAGTCGCAAGAACATGATCGAGGCGAGGCTTCTTCGTTCTTTTCTTTTGTTGCGATTCATACGAAAAGGATCGATGCATAATAACGGTGTAAGAAGGGACTAAAAAGGATGTATTGCTCCCACCTGAAATCTACCGATCAACAGCTTACGCTCCAATTTGGGATGTCGACTGTCGCATGCATAGTGTTCGCGGGGACGACATCACCATACGCGACAACAATACCGAGAAGAGACCCATAGGCTTATTCCTCTAACCCTTGTACAAAACTAGTGACTGCGTCAGGAAGGACACCTAACTGTTAGGGATTATTGTGATCCATCGCGAGACAATCTCTGTCCTTACAGAGTTTGGACATATCGTAGATTTTTTCTAGTATGGATAGAGTTAAATTTAGATGGATGTATCAAAAATTCACTTACATGGGAGGGGTAGATATGCCAAACTTGCGAGATTCCAAGTAATAATGGGGGTGAAATGTTTGATAGATCAGACAAGATTCCAATGAAGGTGCTGTTGCAGATGACAAATTGCATGAGCTTTCACTGTTGGAGGAGGCAGAGAATGATTCCATATCAGGGGGTTGTGTGACACCACTGTTAAGGTGATAACAATTGAATGCTCGTGCTGGTACGCTGTGGATCGCGTGGGGACGACGGTGTCAGGTCGTCCATGCAATAATGGCCAGAAAGATCTAAGAATGTTCACGGGGGTTGGATTTCGAATTTATCTTTGTCGACGGATTTATTTGGTAAATTACAGGAAATCACTTACAACTTTTTTACTCATTCTTCTTTTACCTTACCTTAAATAAGGTTCTTATGCTGACATATATTTTTTGGGATACCAGACTCACTTATTAAAGGATTCCATATATTTTACACCTAAAATATTAATCTACTGATAGTGTATTAAACTCATTTATCAAAGATTAAAATTCTAAACTCTCATCTGATATATACTTAATGCATAAAATATTGACCGACATAGTTTACTCATTTATCAAAAAATGAATATATATATATATATATATATCTTAGGTTATCAAATAAAACAAAATGGTATAATTGGGTTTTCCAGTGTTGACGTCTCTTGTTCCTCGTGCCAAAGTACATGCATGCACTTGCAACGCCCCCCTATACTTGCAAGAAACGCATACTATACATCCAAAATACCAACTTCCACATAAGAGCAAACCATTTCCTCCCAAAGGTTTTGTCTCTATCAACAGTATAGAAGGGAACGATTTGCCTGGATGTGCCGTATGACTGTGCCATGGCTCCTCCTCTGTCGTTTACGTGTCACCGTCATGATAACTCCTGCCATGGAAGCACACACAGCATCATGCAACGTTAGTAGGCTGCATTCCCAAGTGCCAACACTCTGATCCGGTGAAGACAAAGCGCAGCGACGTGCGTCGGGATATATCAGTCTGGGAGATGAATCCGTAGACACTGTGTTCTGCACAGTCTTCTCGATCGCTTTTGTCTCATCTTTCCGTTGATAGTAACTCGTCAATACTCCCATGTACGACCTTTATACCTACCATCCCACCCTTCTTTTGTCGCCGTAGGATGTAGGCAAAAGTGAGATACTAATGTCTGTGTTTTGCACGTATATGAAGACGGTTTGTGTTCTGGAGTGCTGCATCGCATGCATGTAAGGAGCTTTAAAGTCAAGATCACGAAGAGCGCAATTGCTTTTTCATGAGTTCTTTGGCATTGGCACCTCTCAGAATACAAGTAAGTGTTTCAGCGTCTTTATGATATACATCATTCATTCACGCCTTGTGCCTTTTTCTCTATTGTTTCTGTGAACAACCCTCCCTTGGATTGTTCTTGTTTTAACCAAGTTAATGATTCAAAGATTCAAATCGATCGTTCTGTCTTCTAACACTTGTAGTTGACAACAAATTAAAGAATCCTCCTAAAGTGAGTTCGGGAAGAAAATAGTGTGAGATGATCTTTCACTTATATAATCTCCTCTGTCTTTCTATTATTTTATTTTCTTTCCTTTGCTACGAAAAAAAAACTTGGTTTTTGCTTTTACCTCTTAGGTAACAAAGTGGAATTTTAGTGTTAGAAAAACCAAAATACTATTATATATATATAATTAATATTGAACAGGAATTATAGCTACCATGAAAACAGTTTCTCATGAAAAGTTTGATTTGGTGGAATGGTGTTGAAGAAAAGCGGAGAGTTTGTGAATTGCTAAAGAGGCGTTACTATTCTCATAAACAGAAACTCCACAAAAGGTAAGATGATATCGAGAATAATTACATAGAAAAGACACAATGAACAAAATATTTCAAAGATTATGAACTCAACACGTTAAAAAGATGTCTTCCTTTTGTGATTTTGTACAGAAACTTGTGGATGATTGTTGATAGTCGAAGGATATAAATAATTATATTATTTACGTCTTACATAATCTAATATGGCATTTTTAATCTTTTCTGGAAGAAGCCATTGTATGACGACAGCCAATTTTTTGCTCATGCATGTGTTTCTGCTGTCGAGCATAATGCATCATGATGATATAATCAAATAGGATTGTATTGATGAGGGAAACAGCAATGCCGTAACATTCCGACAAAGATTCAACTATGACAACATCACGGGCTTCGTCGTTGGCGGACTTCATGACACTGCGAACCAATGCATGAACCTACCCGATCTTGTGGTTTCTTGGAAAACTCCGTATCATATGCATACTCATGCACAGAGAGAGAGAGAGAGAGAGAGAGAGAGAGAGAGAGAGAGAGAGAGAGATGGGAACAGCGTGGGGCATGAGAACCCCCTGCGGCTTCTGTCTCCATCTTCAAGTTACTATCACCAACCACAGACAGGCACATGAAATCAAAGTCCATGAACAACACGCAAACGACATTAAACCACAACTCGAGAACGAGAGTTCGTGCTTCGTCAGTCTCACAAACACAAGTTGGCTCTCATTCATCGATCCACAAGCATCGTCATCAGTTCTATCATCATCATCACTACTATTAATATGTTCAGCTGGTCATGAACTCACGAGTTCCAAGTATCTTCTGAGTGCAATCATAAAACCATTCTGATGCATAGAAGTTTCTAAATGTATCTAATCATTATACGCAACCATTACATCTTATATTTCACATGAATCATGAAACTCACAGTCTACCGGTTCCTGATATTATCCTTTATTTCCTCATGTGACACTACTCGTCCACACCCAACAATCTCTCCTGTTCAAGAATGTTAATCTATCGAAGAAGCTTTGAGTGCTCTGTCTCGCTTCCTTCCGAGTCTTTGAGAAGCTGAGGACTTGATTTCCACTTGGATCGAGTGTCGAGGTTTTGAAGGTTTTTCTCGATTCTGAGCTTTTTTATTGGTTCCCGTGCCAGCATATCATAATCAACCAACGCAAAAGCACTCCTAAGCATCATATCTATCACTGAAAGTTCAAAGAAACTCAAAACGTCATTTTCTAAATAAAAATACCAAATTAAATTCTATTAAGAAATATGAACTACTTAGATTCAAATCATATAGGGAAAGCCAAATGCTTCGTTACCTTCGATGAATGAATGATCATACATATTCTGTTGTTTAAGTATATTTAAGTCTTAAAGTTAAAAGAAGAAAGACCAAAAAATGTTCAATTAACTACTTGTGCAATTTATTCATATAACAACATTGCCTCTAAGATGATCAACATCTCGAGTGGTTGATTGTAACCCAATCCGTGACAGAATCTGATTTAAGTAGAATATTGATCGAAATCTAATTAGAATCCTGGTCCAATTATTCAACGATAATTGCATTGAATACAAATCAATTTTGATCCGAGATACCGAGCTAGGAACTCAACCTATTACTATAATTCAAAAGCAATTTAAACGGCTTTTAAACAATATTTATTATTTGAGAAATTCAAATCATAATTTGTGGAGAAACAAATAAATGTAATTGATTTAAATCTAGTTGGATCATAGCTCTAATTCTTGAATGGATTCCAATATGAATCTATTTTTAGTCAACATGTTGGATTACTGATACTAATTTAATTGGTTTCTTAGAATTTGGATTCTTTTCAAGAAAAAAAAAATCATTTATTAATATATTGATTATATTAATAGCTCTATTAAAATAATAAAATTTTAAATAAAATTTCTATTTTACATTTCAAATATTTATTTAAAATTCAGTAACATAGATAGTAGTGGTTATACTTGGTATGTTGACTAATGGTAGCTGAAGTGGCAAATGTGGAAGAATACTAATATTTAGAGTAATATATATACTATTTTAAAATTTTCAGCATTCATATGTTATTTTTTAAAAGATAAAAAATGTTGTGCACATAGTAAAACCTTGGGCTTTTCTGTAGACAAGTCTATATGACCTTTGCTATTAGTCACTAAACACTTGTTATTTACCTAATAACAAGTTTAACTAAAGGTGTTAAAGGTGCTAATTAGTTTAACTAATAAAGATCTTGACGATTTATCACAAAGTCCTAGGCTCGAATTTCATCTTCGCCACTAAGAATATTTATTAATCTTCATTAGTATTCGACATGAAATATTATAAGGAATATCCTAAATTTCTAATGAATTTTATTTCTCTTCTGCATTATCTGTCAGTCACAATGAGCTTACAT